TATATACAAATGTGCATATATATATGTATACATTTATATTAAAAAAAAAATATATATTGTGTATATATATATATATATACATATAGTTAAATAGATATATAAATATATTATAGATAAAGTATATATGTATAATGAAGTAAGAAAAAGGGCAATGGCGGGCGGGCTGATAGTAAAGCCTGCCGCGTCGCCGGTTCCCTGAGACCCTAACTTGTGACGTCGCGTCCGATATCTCACAGGCTAGATTCTCTGGTATTGGCGATGAGTGCTGCCTTTTGTCGATCAAAAGTCAGTTTTAACGACAGAAAGAGAAAGAAAGAAAGACAGAGAATGAGAAAGCGAGCGAAAGAGAGAGAGATAGAGAGAATGAGAGAGCGAGAGAGAAAGAAAATGGTCGGCTTTCGTTCAGAACACATGCACACACACACACACACACACACACACACACACACACACACACATCCACGAATTTATGCGAACATTACGACCGCCATAATGTATAGAATAGAAAGAATTAATCCTAATTCGTAAATTGAATAAAAAGTTCGCGTACGAGAGAATGACAGAAAAAAAAGAAAAAAAAAAATAAAAGAAAAACAAATTGTTCCAGCTCAGCATAAAAAACATTTGATTTTTGATTCTGTGTAAATAATAATTTTGTAATGATAGACGGCCATTTTAAAAAGAAATGTAAAATATATGTTCGATTTGATGAAAGATTTTGTAGAAAAATTGATTGGATTTTTTTATTCTTTTTTTTATCCTTTTGGTTTGTTTTTTTTTTTTTTTTTTTATTTCTTTTTTCTTCTTTTAAATCGTGCAATTGTAGCGTTCAACATTTAACGTTAACCAATGGCTCTCTGTGAATGTTCAGTAGTGCGACGGATTAAATTAATGAAATAGCTTCTACGTATCGTATCGATGCACAGAGAAGCATCATATTGACACGGTAAACGACATCGTATTACACATGAAACGAAAACTGCGAAGAAGAGAATGTCATTCTATATATATATATATATATATATATGTACAGAACATTTTATATATATATATATATTTGTATATGTATTATATAGTTTAAAGATTATTAAGAAATAATAATATTATAACACAGCGATAAAATGTATCGATATAAGTGTAACCATAACTTTATTTTTCAACAATCAATTTCATACTTCGCAGATTATCAAAATACATCATATATATATATATATATATATATATATATATATATATATATATATCGGGATTCAATAATAATTTTTTACATAACATAATAATAATAATAGTACTAATAATAATAATAGTAATAGTAGTAATAATAATAATAATAATATAAATTAGGCATAGAATATCTGGATATCATTTTACATCATTAAACTTTTTCGTTGTCCTCTCGTCCATATTATTATATTCGTATATATTACTTCTTAAAATGTTTAAATCCTTAAGATATTTCAAAAAGATGGAAAGAAAAGTAAAGTAAAAGAAAAAAAAAAAGAAATGTTAAGATTATTCTAAGAGACCCAAGTATATGTTATTTTGTGTATGTATACATATATATATATATATACATACATATATACATATATATATCCATATGTATATGTATATATATATATATACTCTTTCTCTATAAATTAATTAGATTATGTTATGTTAGATAAAATTATCTCTCAAAAATATAAAAATGTAATCATTTAAAGTACCTTATATCTTCGTCGTATAAAAAAAAAAAGAAAAAGAAAAAAAAAGAAAAAAAAAGGAAACAAAAAGAAACGAGGCGCACTTTTTAAATCTCATCAAAAGTAACGTCTACCTTCTTCGACTAATTTACTTAATTCAGCGGCCGAATAGCCCAACAATTGTTTCAAATCGCAAACGAACTTGTAAACGAATCTCTTCCCGTGTACCTTAGATATCATATCACCGTCATAATAATAACGAAGTGCTCGACTTAATTTTTCATAATTCATCGATGGTTTATTTTTACGCGCGCCCCATAATTGTGCAACTGCTTCTGGTTGAGTCAATTTAAATTCTCCTTCGGTTCCTACCCATTGTATAGCACCTCTGTGTTCACGATCCGTCAATAATTCCAATAAAAATTGCCACAATTGTATTTGTCCGCTGTTTACTGAACGACTCGACGTTGCTATTGTGATCGGTGTCGAATCAATATTCTCCAATGGTACACTGACTACTCTTGTTTGTTGATTAACAACTGGCCGTGTTTTAGGATTCTTTTGATTACGTACTTTCATAGTTTTGTTCGTAGTATTTTCACTGACCGACGTTGGAACGTCCTTTTGTACAACAGCTATGAAAAATGAAGAAAATATATATATATATATATATGCTTGTTTAAATAAATAAATCTTAAAAATAAATCTTTTTTCTCTCTCTCTCTCTCTCTCTCTCTCTCTTTCTTTATCTTATTATATCATAACTTACCGACGAATTTACATTTTCGTAATAATTCCAAATGTGTCCAGAATACATCACCGGGATCAAGAGGAACCTTGCTCTGAAATTCTTCAAGTGTTAGATTGCACAATTGTGCACCTGTTATATTCCAATCGGCTAAACGTAAGGAAACCAAATTGAATTGTCTAACGGCCCATTGAAGCCAATGTTTCACGTGTGTTTGTGACCAATCTTTTGGATCGGCTGGTATCTTCAAGCGTTCCTTTGAGATAATAAATTATTATATGTCAAATTAATGATAGATTATTAATAAAACAAAAAATATAATTCATCGTATTTTAATTTTTATTTCAACGTATACGTTTATACCTGCTCTTTCTTATATTGTGCATCTACCATCCATCTTATCACATTTTGTTTATTTTCTTCGTTGAAGGATGTTATTGCTAGAATATAAATAATCGATTGATTTCTGAATCTATCATTAGAAATTGAAACTTACGTACAATTATTTTCTGCAAGTTCAATGTAATCTTCCGCAGGTTTTAAAACGTCTACTATGTTAATACGTTTTTGTAATGCTTTTATTTGAACATTAACTTGAACAAGACCTTCACCTTGCACGCATTGATCGACTAAATTTTTGTGACATTCGAGCTGTAAGAACGTTTACAAAAATAATCTTAATTTATTATTATTACATATAATTATTATTTTGTTACATGAATGATATATTTTCAGATAACTTTAGGCAAAGATACAAATGCTATTGGTATTATGATAGGAGCTTTGGTTGATATGATAATAAACAAATACCCAGAGCATATTGTGCAATGTTATTTTTCATACTTACCATTTGTGCATCTTGCAACCAAAATGAATAATCGGTAAGCTCGACGCCCAATCTCTGTTCCAAAAGATTTCTTAGAGTGGACAGTGGTTCTCTAATATCCATATGTTGCATAAGAATCCCATCGTTACAATCATCGCTATTGGTACTACCTTCTAAAGAAAAACTTGGTTCAACTTCCAAGTCTGAATTGTCCTGTTGAAATTGTGCCATTATATCGTCATCCTGAGACAATATAGCTTCTGGTTCCATTTTGATACGTTTTATCATTGCATATTCAGATTCATCGTCCGTATCAAAACTGTTTTGCAATATACATAGATAAAAATTAATATTACACGGATATGAATGTGATAAGAAAAAAAGAATCGGTAGAAAAAATTTTCAGGTTATGATACGTGAATCATTAAAAATTAAAAAATAATCATAAATGTTTTACCCTTTTTCTGAATTCTTTCGACGAATTCCTAAATCCATCGAGATACGAATGGTATTTAAAGATATTTAACAATAACGTAAATCGTATAAATAATATTTACTTTTGAACATAATATGACTAAAGGCGTCGTCACGCTCTCATACACTTTATACGTTGAGTCGTCGAATGAACGTAAACAAGCATAAAACTACGAGAATATTATTTTCCTCGAACTTATTTACAAATTTTCCGTTATACGTAATTTACTCACACGTAATAGAAAAAATAATATTTGTAGTAAAATTCGATATTGCAAAAACAATGAAATCACTCATACGTTCGTGACGTATTCCCATGAATCAAAAGTGGCGCGCTCAAGCGTCAAAGAACTGAACTAAAAATATCATACCGGAATAAATCAAAAAGAAAAAGTACTTTCAATAATGAAATATATATATATATATATATATATATATATATATATATATATATATGTATGTATATATATATACATACATAAACGCACACACATGTACATACATTTTCATATCAATAATATTTATTCAACGTAATTTAACATTGAATATTACAAGTAAGAAATCAAATGGTTGTCCCATTATTTACCTAAACACATATCCATTACTATATTATAAAGTTTTTCGCCAAGATATGCAAATGTTTTTGATTTTTCGCAATGTTCCAAAAGATTATTACTAAATTTATCTTCTCCATAAAAAGCACCGGCCAAAGCTCCTGTCATACTACCAATAGTGTCTGTATCTCCGCCTAAAGTTATCTGAAAATATATCATGCATGTAACAAAATAATGATTATATGTAATCTTATAATTATATAAAAGAGGATAACTTACGGCATATTGTATAGCTCTTCTAAGTGGATTTTCAGTTTCTATACCTTTGATAGGCCGTTGCGCTCTTAAGAAACAAAATATTGCTGTAGGTACAGAATAAAGAGCTGCAATACCATTACCAAGTTGCCGAATAACTTCTTCGTTCGTAACGTTTTCCTCCGAGACAATTAATTTTTGTAATATATCTAATTTCACCTTGTAAGGTTGTGGTTCAACTAAGTCTAAACTATAAGGAAACTTATGACGAAATATTTACAAATGACAATTCTTATTCTATATTATAACTTACCCTTCTTCATCTTTCTCTATTTCCTTCATTTTATCAATAAGTTTATTAATGAAATCTGAAACATTTAATTTATTGGATGGATCTAATTGAAGACATTGTTGAATAGCAATAGCCTGAAAAAATAAATTTGTAAAATATTTGCAAATAAGTTTTAATTTATTCCTGTGAAAGATTTCTTATCTTACCTGCAATATAGCACCATCGATGCCAATTTTGTGAGTATGAGTAATTTCAGTAGATCTCCTTGTTCTATCTATAAGTTTATCGTTATCTTTATAATAAAATAATGCTATAGGTGCAATCCGCATAGCACCCCCATTACCCCAAGAACCTTGCCCATTAAATTGTTCCCTCGCAGGAAGTAAAACATCTTGAAACTTATTACCACGTAATTTCTGGAACACCTAAAAGAGATTATTTTTATTGTTATTATATCATATACGATGAGGATATATATATACAAATATATATATATATATATATATATATATATATATATATATTTAATTAAATTACTTCAATTAGCCAATACATTCAAAGTCTTTTCATACTAACGGTTACAACACCAGCCCCATAACCACGATTTGGTTCCTGATAATAGCTTTTCACAAACCTTTTTGCTAAATCAACGAGGTCTAAGTCGCCTTTTTCAATTAAAGATTCAGCCACACTTTGTGTCATTGCTGAATCATCTGTATACTGCATAACTGGCGCTAGACGAAGTTAACCAAAAAAAAAAAAAAGAAAAGAAACAAGTACATAGTAATAACGGTGTTGATTATAACATCTATATTTGTATATATTATATGATATCTCAATAAAAATGTTAATGTTACATATCTCGGTATCATCTAACCTTTAAACATGTTTCCTTCTAATTTGTCAAAAGATTTTTGTAAAACTTTCGTCATGCCGGCCGATAATAATTCTTCATTTTCGTAAGGACTACCAAGACAGTCACCCATCAAAACACCTAACATCGAGCCACGAAATTTACTCTTTACTAATTGCAAGTCCATTTTTCCTTTATATTTCTATTTTATTTTCTTTTTTTTTTTTTTTTTTTTGATAGGATAAACGAGATCCTCCTATCGTTACGTCTTACTAGCAGAAACGCGTAGATCCAACTAAATCCATCTCTTACTAGATTTTTCATGAAACCGATATGATATAAACTTTCGAATTATTATGAAATAGCTTTGGGTAATATAATAGAGCAACTTTTTTTTTTTTTTTTTTTTATATAATTAATCTTCATTCATTTATACACATATAAATCGTCTCTATTGTATTTCTCCGTGTGACATAAAAACATAGTTAGTTGATCGTAGTAGTAGTAGTAGTAGTAATAGTAGTAGTAGTAGTAGTAGTATTATCAATAGTAGATCTATTTATATATGTATTTCAAAGAAATTTATTAATGGAAAGCTTCTTTAAAAAAAGAAAAAGAAAAAAAAAGAGTATTTCGTAACAACGTAAAAATTCTAAAATAATAATAGCTTTGATTTAATATTTCTCTGAGTTGGAAAAATATATTGTCTATTCTGTTGAATAAACAATATGAAACATAATAAGCACGTAGAATTCATATTTTTCGATCAAGAACAAGAAAAAAAAATATATATATATATATATACATATATATATAAAAATATGATTATTTTAAATAAAATTTATCGGTTTGGTTCAAAAGAGAGAGATTTGCATGTGACATTAGAGTTTCAAGGATGACTACATCGATTCGATTAATCGACGATACTATGATATTTTCAGTTACCTACGGTCTACTGTTAATCAACGAAAATAATAAAACTCAACAAAGACGAATACCGATTGGCTATTGAAAGAACGTTCGGTATAGCGAGAAGCAAGTGGCGACGTTAAATGCGACGACGTTGATTGGTCAATTCGGCGTCGAGAGATTAACGTGGTGGGGGAATAGAGCGTCGTACGGCGCGCTCTACCCGGGCAATCAGTGTACCGCCGGCCGCGTAGTCGATCGGTCGGTTTGTACTGTTTTCCTTCGTGGGAGTTTCGTTTCGACGTCTCCGTTTGATCTCTTTCTCTCTCTTCAATTTTCGATAGTATCCGTTTCGAAAAACGATTGAAAAATTTCTCCCACTATTACGTTTCTTTAAAAATACAAAACGATTATTCCTCGTTCATTAAACGATTAGAATTTCTTACGTCTAAGAAATATATTCGTTCGTTTATTCTCTTTTAACGGCGTTTTTTTATTACGAGAACCTGAATAAACTTTACACTCGTGAAACAAACTATCCTTCTCATCTTATACGGAGCCAAAGAGAGAGAGAGATAGAGAGAGAGAGAGAGAGAGAGAGAGAGAGAGAGAGAGAGAAAAAGAAAGAGACAGGAAAAGGTGATCTGTGAATGAATTGTTATCAAATTGAGAAGTACGGTTATATATATATATATGTATATGTATATATGTATATATATATGATTGAAGAAAGGGAAATGTCGAAGGGACAAGAAGGTCGATTCTTCTTCGATAATTAATATCTTAGAAGACAATACCCTTATTGAGAGAAAAGTGTAGTATATATTGCAAGAGAAAGGGAAGGAGTGAGGGAGTCAAGCGAGAGGGGCCAAGAGAGGAATTCCATCTATCTTCGCGCAGGTACGTGTCTCGTTACGTTCCGTTCTGTTACTCTCATGCCATTTAGATACTTAAAGCGATTTTCTCATTTCATTATATTCTTATTATATTTCTCATTCTAATGTTTATATACAATTCAACGTAATAATGATTAGAAATCTCTAATAATTGAAATTTTGTAATTTTTATATTGACATCATTGACATCATCGAAATCGTATATTATATATATATATATATATATATATGTTATTTTTTATTTTTATTCATTCAATCATTGCTCTATTTTACGAGAAATAATTTCTTGCCAACCAACATCGATACCTCCATCTTTCTCCAAATATTTTGCTTTGATCTATATATATATATATATATATATATATATATATATATATATAAAATACACAGGATATATATGTATATGTATATATGCACTGTCCATCGTCGTCTATTTCGTATATATACACACACGTATACACGCACTAGCATGGCTCAAGCCGTCTCGTACGGTCATAAATGTTTCGGCCATGAACTCCGATGATCGCTCAATGAACGCATAACGCACGTGTAAAATCCTATTCTCGTTATTTTCCCTCTCTGGAACGATTTTTTTCTTTCTTTTTTTTCCCCCTTTGTTTTTTTTTTTTTCTTTTTTTTTTTTGAATTTTTCATTCCTAGGATTAGAAAAAGTAAAATTCAAAAACCATTTATAGAAATAATCAACCTACGTAGTCTCTCTCTCTCAAAAAAAAAAAAAAAAAAAAAATTTGTAATCGTAATTTATGTAAGTATATATATTTACGGAAGTTCGTGATGAAAACAGAACGAAAAATGAAAAAAATAAAAGTGACTAATTAATTGAATAAACAATATATATATATATATATATATATATATATATATATGTATATATATGTATATGTGTTTGTTTATTCAATTATTCAAAATAAAGTAAAATCGAAGTAATTAAATCCAAGAAAGAAATATGTGTATACGATTTATACACTTTATTTTGACTAGCGTAGTAATCGAAAGAGATACGCAAGTACCATAGAGGTTATACATAGAAAGGAAAAGGAAGAGGGAAACAAAATTGAAAAGAAAAAAAGAAAAGGAGAAGAGAAAAAAATGAAAAGAAAAGAACAACAGGCAAAGCAAAAGAATAGAATTTATTGACACTCGTGTTATATACGGTTCGCCAACCATTTCTCCCTTCGCATTTTTATTTGTCCGCGGTCAGGATTAAAGCTCGACCATGTTTTCTTTCATCTCTCTCTTTCTCTCTCTCTCTCTCTCTTTCCCCATGCTTTCTTCATTCTTGTGTGTATATACAGGATTAGGGTCATATCATAGAGAGAGAGAGAGAGAGAGAGAGAGAGAGAGAGAGAGAGAGAGAGAGAGAGAGAGAGAGAGAGAGAGAGAGAGAGAGAGAGAGAGTGAGTGAGAGAGAGAGAGAGTGAGAGAGTGAGTGAGAGAGAGAGAGATACGTACGTGTATGTATATATGTGTGTATATACCTTAAGAAGACATTCGCATACCCGCACATACGATCGATCACGAGCGCGCTATATGCATTATATGGATTTTATTTTATTTTTTTTTTCTTTTTTTTTTTTAATATATATTTTTATTTTTATTTTTTTTCAAAAAAGATGATATTAACGCCATTATACGAGCATCGATGAGAATCAATCTTTCAGAGGTCATCACGGAGGTCAACCGGAAGAAGAGATCGATAATACGAGCGAATAATTTTAAGATTCTCCTTTGAGGAACATATTATAAAACACTGTTATAATTAAAAAGAAAAAGAGAAAGAAGAAAAAGGAACGAGACAAGAAAGAACAACAAATTGAAGTGATATCGCAGGGATATCAATAAGGGGCAGACACGCGAAGGTAATATCCCTCTCGAGGAAAAAAAAAAGTAAAAGAAGAAAAAAGATCAAACGCAGGCGCCATTTTTTTTTTCTTGGTTAAATGGCAACTAACCACAACTCTATTGAGTCATGAAAGCTAACCTATAAAAAGAGAGAAAATAAAAAAAATAAAAAAAAAAAAAAACAGAATAACAGTGAGGGGGGAGGGAAGAATATAGGAATCTCTCGTTAGAAGACAAAAGGAAAAAAAAAACAAAAGAAGTGAGGAAGAGAGGAAGAGGAAAGCGAAGGTCATGGCGACACCACCGGACTCGCCGGGACCGGAAGAGGCTCTTTTCGAGTTCGAGAGCACGCGGGCGAGACAACAAACCACCAGACCTGTAGCCCTCGAGGAACTACTCAGACAGACCAAGTTCTCGAGGCAAGAGATTCGTGTTATGTATCGAGGATTCAAGCAGGTACATAAGTTTTACTTCTTGAGATTATCTCTTATTACCTTCCATTCCCCTTACCCCACCTCACCTCATCTCATTCCATTCCATCTACTCACCCACAGCCTGCAACCCTAGTCTCGCATAACTTCTCTACCCCTTTTCGCTACTTCTCTTTTCTATTTCCTCTATGCTATACTCCGCTAACCACTTCACACAACACACTAGACCATCATTTTCCTGGCTCTGTTTCTCTCTTCCTTGTTTTTCTCCTTCCTCTTCTACTATTTCTCTTCTACTTCTACTTCTTCTTCTATTTCTTCTTCAAATAGATTTTCTTATCTTTTTCTTTTTCTTCTTTTGCCCTGTGATTCCTACGAACAAGAAACAATATTTATTTATTAATAACGATCCTATATATATATTAATAATTGTACGTGACTTTGATGGTTCATCGTGGCTATCGAAAAGAATTGTTTTGTAATCAGACAATTGATGAATAGAACAATAAATGGAGGAAGAAAGAAAGTGTATACGCGCGCGCGCGCGCGCCCGCGTATGTATATATATAATGCACAAGCGCGTATTTGTAGAGGGAAAAGGTTGGCATTGCAAAAAGGGCGCGGAGCGAAGAAAGGCAGCCGTAGATTTTTTTTTTTTTTTTTTTTTTTTTTTTCACGTAAAAAGTCAAAGCGCGTCTTTCAACTCAGCAACGATTGCTTCTTTTGATCTCCCTCTTATCATCTCTCCTATCCTTATCCACCTTCACCTCGTTGCGTCTTCTACTTCCACTTACCTCTTTTCCCTCCTTCGCCCTACACCCCTCTCCACCCTCTCTCTATTTCTACCTTATTTTCCCTTTTCTCTTTCCACCTCTTTATACCATCCCTTCTTTCTTCCGGCCTTGCACATACACACATCGATCGGAACGTTCGTTAACCCGACGGTACTATCTATGATATATGTCTATGTATATACATATGTCTATGTATATATATATATATATATGCCTATGTGTATTGTGTAATGTGCGTGCGCGCGCACATTTATATATATATATGTGCGTGCACATATATACATACTTATCTTTTTTATAATAAAAAATTTGTGAACGCTCTTAAGTACCCTAGATGGGATATGTTCATTTTCTTCTTTTTCTTTTTCTTTTTCTTTTTTGTCGTTTATATTTCTCGAAGATCTCAAATATTTGATTTTGTTTCGGATTTTTCCTTCTCTTTATCTGTTTTCTTTTTTCTCTTTTTCAAAACGACGCATATCCAAATAACATGTATACGTGGCTTCGTTCCAATTTCGTTTTAGTCGTCCAAGAAATCTTAAAGTCTTTTATATATATGTATATATATATATATACATGTATATGTATATGTACATGTATATGTATATGTATATGTATAAAGAAATTATACATATATATATATATGTAATCATTTTCTGTAATATCAACCCGCAATGATCACGTGACATCCTTTTATATCCAACCATTTGCAATGGAATACCTACCACCTATTGCATATCTCATGCCGTAGGTTAATTGGTGTGTATTTTAATTATTCTAACGTCATACGTTTATTTTTATTTCGCTTGGTATTAATAAATATTAATTTTGAACGTATAATATATACGTACGATATGTACAGGGTGGGTAGAAAGTTTTCAAATGATTTTTGAAAAATCGATTATTCCTATTCGTACTATTCTACAGTTTGTTAATCTTTTATAGTATCGTGTAACTTTGAAGTTACAAATTTAAATATATACATACATATATATATATATATATATATATATATATATGTACGTATATGTATGTATGTATGTATTTTTTATATCTTTGTTTCATTTTATCCTTATAAAATTATTTGTCAGTTCACGTACGAAGCTTTAATATCTTTTTATCCTTTTAATTTGTCATACTTAATATAATATAATAATAACTATATTACGACGTATGTAGATATACCAGGTGTTCAAATTATGACGTTAGAAATGTTTACTTTTCGAAAGGATAATATTTTTGGAGAAAAAAATTGTTCGAACCAGGGTTATCCCGATTTTAAAATGGAAATGTTATGGCATTTATTGATTTTTTTTTTTTTAAATGAAATATCTCAAGATCACTTTGAGATTCTTTGTTTTTCTTCCTCCCCCTTTTTTTTTATAGATAGGAATCTATATTTTTTATAACGATAGCATATTCTAACGCACAAAAGAAAAGAAAAAAAATAATAATAAAAAAAAAACAGCAAGTAACTTTCTTCTGCAATATTTTGTTATCCCGTGCACGAAGAAAATAGTCATGCTTTAAATTGGATTAAAATTGATATGCATCAAAAACGTCGATGTATTATCAATGAAAAGGCCAAAGGTGATTTCTCAATATTCTCCATCATTTTTTTTTTTTTTGTCGGGCTTAAAACGTCTAAGTCTACTTTAATAAAAAAAAAAAAAACAGTTATTATAACTTGCGTAGCTTGCGCAAGAGTGATGGAACATCTATGAAAAACGTGTCTTTACATTATTTTCTTGAAAAACGTAACGAGTTTTATACGAAACATTTCATTGTAAAAACGACAAGTTAGGAGATATTCAGTCGTTTGATCATTTAAAAACGGGACAATCTGTGTATACCTACACATACTTATATGTATATTTGATATATGTGTACATAAGTGACACGAATGAAGATAAAAGCATC